CACCCCACACTCGCCAGGCCTGCAGAAGCATTTGGGTGCTGGGCCGGGGCAAGGACTGGGTGGGGACGGGTGTGGCAGGAGGGCGGAGAGCCGAAGGGATGTCCCTGGGTAGGTGGGACAGGCACGGTGCTGGCAGCCAGCCCCAGAGCCCCGTCTGGCTGGCAGGGGGATCCGTGTGGGGTACACCCCCGACGTGCTGACCGACGCCACCGCTGAGCTGTCCGTGGCCCTGCTGCTGGCCGCCTGCCGCCGGCTGCCGGAGGCGACCGAGCAGGTGAAGAGGTGAGTGACCCCTGGGGTCAGCGCCAGAGCTGTGCCCCGCGGGCTGGTGACGAGGGGCTGCCGTCCCATGCAGCTCACACGGAGCACCTGGGCTGGGCTCTCAGCACCTTTCCATGACTCCTGCTCCTGTCCCGCTCTCTCGGCCAGTGGCGGCTGGACAACGTGGAAGCCCCTGTGGATGTGTGGGTACGGCCTGTCCGACAGCACCGTGGGCATCATCGGGCTGGGCAGGATAGGTGAGTCCAGTCCAGAGATTTCTGCGTCTGCAGCTGTGCCAGGGTGGGTTTGGAGCATCACCTCCAACCTGAGCTACTGGGGGGGTGCCCCTGCTGGAGGTGGGAGGGTTGGAGTGAGGTGGTCCTTGAAGCCTTTTCCAGCCCAGACTGTTCTGGGACTCTGACTCAGCTAAGGTGGTGCCCTGGAGCTCACCTGTGTAAACCCCCTGAGCACAGCAAGAGGAGCCGTGCAGAGCCTCTCCCAGAAGCTGTACTGGCTCAGCAGCCTCAGGCTCAGGTGTGCCTGTGCTCCCGCCACCTGCAGCCCCAGCAGCAATCTGTGCCTGCCCCAGTGCTCAGTTACACAAATGCAGTGGCAAAGTCCACGCAGCGCTCGACACCATCCAGCTGTGGACTTTGCCAGCAGGCAGCCAGTCCTGTCCTTGCTCCCCAGGGCAGTGTTCCTGGGGGTAGCCACGGGGTCAGTGTCCATGGGCCCCTTTCCACAGCAGAACCCTCCAACCCCACCCCGCAGTCAGGGCTGGGAGCAGCCAGGATGGAGGGATCCCGCTGCAGCAGCCCTGCAGTGGCTTCAGGAGCCGGTCCCCACAGGTGCTGTGGAGCACAGCAGCCCAACACCTTTCTTCCTCACTCTTAGGACAGGCAGTTGCCCGGCGCCTGAAGCCGTTTGGGGTCAGGAAGTTTCTGTACACTGGCAGTGGCCCAAAACCGGAGAGTGCGGCAGAGTTTGGGGCTGAGTTCGGTAAGGATGGCACCAGGGCAGGGGGGTGTCAGTCGCCAGTCATGGAGCACCAGGGCTGGGACAGCTCCAGTGGCGTCACTCACAGGGTTTGTCACCTGCAGGGTGGCCAGTGGAGGGAGGGCTGGGGGAGCTGGGGGCTCCTGGGTGTGCCCAGTGCAGGGGGAGGAGTGCCCCGTCCCAGAGCCCACAGTGGGGGTGGCAGGGAGGACCCTGCCTCCTCCGAGCCAGGCAAAGGCTGGGCGTGCAGGGGTTCATCAGACCACCAAGAACTCCAGGCTGCAGCTGATCCTGCCACTGCTCCCCTTCCCTGTGTCTGTGCACTGGTGAATTGCTGTCAGTTTTATTCCCACAAGGAAGTTGGACACAGTGAACAGAGGCAAAATGTGACAGCTGCTCCTAGGAGGAGGGGAGGGTCTTGTGGACTGTCCCCACGGGGCTGAGTGCCCAGGTGACACAGGTGACAGGAGGGACTGCTCCTGGAGTTCTGCTGAGGGAAGGTGTTGGCTGCAGTGGGATGTTTCTGTCCTTCTTCCCCCAGTCCCTCTCACGAGGCTGGCCGAGGAGTCAGACTTTGTAGTGGTGACTTGTGCCCTGACGCCAGCTACCCAGGGGATGTGCAACAAGGACTTCTTTGGCAGGATGAAGAAGACTTCTGTGTTCATCAACACAAGCAGGTACTGGCAGCCCAGAGGCGTGCCTGGGAGAGTGGCTGTCGCCCTTCCACGCTGTGAGTGTAGGGGATCTGCTGAGTGCAGACAGCACAAACAGCCTTTGTGGCTGCAGCCACCGGCTACATTTGCCCAAGGCCCCTTGGGATTGAACCAAAGGCAAGATAAAGTGTTCAGGGAGCACCCAGCTCTTCAGCTCACTGCTGGGAGGTTCAGGCACATCCAGAGGGGGTCTGACCTCTACTTAGGCAGCCCTGGGCAGCCTCTGCCTCTGTGCCCTGGGGGCCAGCAGGCCCCTCAGCAGTGACGCCAGCCCCTTGCAGGGGGGCTGTGGTGAACCAGGAGGACCTGTACGAGGCACTGGCCCATGGCCAGATCGCAGCTGCCGGCCTGGACGTGACCACTCCGGAGCCACTGCCCACTGACCACCCCCTGCTGTCCCTCAAGAACTGTGGTGAGTGTCTGGGGTGGTCAGACCCCTCCTGCAGCAGGTGCTGCCTCGGGGGCCCAGAGACGGGTGTGACAGGGACCCCTGGGCCCCACTGGTGGCAGTGGGCACCAGAGCACAGGACAGACAGGTCAGGTGTACTTAGGTGGGCTGCTGTACACTGCAGGGAGCTGCTGTGGAGTAAACACTCATCAACATGATGTCAAACAAGTGTGGGAAGCTGTTTTAATTTTCCAGAAAGCCATTGAGATAAACTCAGTTTTAGTACCTTCATGATGGCTCTTCATTCAGCGTGTGAAATTCATGGAGGTTCTGGTATCAGCAGGTGCATGAATGAGAAACCAGCTCAGCCCTGTCCAGCTCAGCTATTCTGTGGGCTCCTGGGCACAGACTGTGCTAGAAGAGTTTCCCACTGGCTACAAGTGGGCTGCTGGGCTTGCCTGGAGGAGTCTTGGTCTCGGGAGTGCTGCTGGGCTAGCCAGGCTGCAGCCTGTTACCTGGATAGTTCCAGGCATTGGGAAGGTGGGACATTGGGCAGGTCCAGGACTGAGACCTGTCTTCTCTGGAGGAGGATGGTGCAGGTGAGGAAGGATGGCTAGGAAGGAGCTTGCTTGGGTGGTGTCTCACAGGATGTCCTCCCTCCAGGGGGATGGGGTTTCTGGAGTAGGAAAAGTATGTTCCCCAAAGAAACCACAGGGACATCCATGAAAATTTGGAACTGCCCATGACTGTCTGTTTCTGAAATACAAACCTGTACCTGTTGTTTTAGCTTTTTGCTAAAGCTCATTTTTTGTTTGTTTGCACTGTTTCTCAAGGTAGGCAGTGTGAGGAGTGGTAAGAGCAGAGCCTTTCTGGAAATATTTGCAGGACTTGGAGATTAGAGAGCTCTGAAACCAGACCAGTCAGGATGTAATTCATACATGTGTATTTACTGAATACATTACTTACACCAGTAATCCTACACATTTATTAATACACAAATAACATCTACATGGTCACTGTACCTCTGACAGCCCTGGAAGGGGCAGCTGGGGGTGTGTGAAGGTGAGAGGTGAGCAGTGTCCCTCCTGTCCCTGCAGTGATCCTGCCGCACATCGGGAGCGCCACGTACGCCACCAGGAGCACCATGGCAGTGCTGGCAGCCAACAACCTGCTGGCTGGGCTGCGAGGGGAGCCCATGCCCCACGAGCTGAAGCTGTGATGGCCAGGCCCTGCTCCAGCTGAAGCTGTGATGGCCAGGCCCTGCTCCAGCAGTCGTGGGACGGACGCGGCGTCGAGGCCAGCCTGCGTCCCCTCCCCTGCGGTGGCCAGGAGCCATTAAAGAGAAGCAGCCAATGTGTTGTGCTCATGTCATTTGAGAACAGGCCCAGTGCTGGAGCGTGCTGTGGGTGCCATGGGGAGGGGTTGGCCCTGGACTGGGGAATGTTTGCCAAGCTGGAACTGCCGTAAGGGAACTGCTGCAGCAGCATCCATCCTCAAAACTGGGCTCCTGGTCACAGGGAGAGGCCAGGGGTGCCTTAGCTGGGCTTGTAGCCAGGAGGGGAGGAGAGGTAGCAGCTTTGTCCATGCAGGCTGCTGCTGGCACAGGAGCTGCTGCCAGCCCACACATCAGGTGGTGCTGTGGAATCAGTGACACCACACGATCCTCTGCCTGGGGGGTGTAAAGAGAAGCACAAAACAGGCTTTTGCAGCTCCCCAGGAACCTCCAGCTCTGCCTTTTGTATCCATAACCAATTCCAGGCACAGCTCCAAAGCGGATGGCAACCTGGAATTCACTGGGAGGTTCTGCCACCCCTTTGTGGGTTCTGGCTGCAGCTTCCCTCATGTTTCTCAGACATGCAGTGACATTTGTTGGTGAACAGGAGAGTCTGAATGGGGCCTGAGCCTCCAGCTGCCAAGAGAGGCCTGATGGGCACATCTGGAGGGCTTTGGGGATTCACGTGTCCTGCAGCCACTGTCCCACTTCCATAGATTGGGGGCTGGAAAACCTGGAGCACACCTCACCATGCCACCAATCACAGAATCATGGAATGGTTGGCTTGGAAGGGACCTTATGGATCATCTCATCCCACCCCACCTACTAGGGGCAGGAGACCTTCCACTGTCCCAGACTGGTCCAAGCCCTGTCCAGCCTGGCCTTGGACACTTCCAGGGCATGGGCAGCCACAGCTGTGATGAGCCCGGGGTCCAGGTGGCCCATCCTGCAGGATGGGGGCGGATCTGCCCCGGGGCGCGCGCTGGCCTTGCCATTGCCCCTCCCTGCCCATCACCGGTGACATGTGGCAGACAGGGCAGCCCTGTCACAGCCCAGCCACGGCCACCAGCCACGCAGTGCTGCCCACCCCAGCCACCCCACAGGTGTCCCCACAGCAGGATGTCCCCACTGGGGAGGTCACTCTCACCAGTGTTAAACCAGTGTCCCTCCAGCTCCGAGTGCTCCCAGTCCTCGTGCCAGGGAACACTGCACACCTGGACTCAGGTTCCTTTTGAGGTGTGGCTCTCCATCAGCCATCCTCCTCCTGTTCCTCCCAGTCCCACCACAGCCCTCCATGGTGTCCAGGCCCGCAGAGGACACAGGAGCCCTTTTGGCACGCCCAGGTTGAGCAGCAGTGCCTGTGGCTGACCCTCCCTGCTGAGATGGATTTGTGCAGGTTTTCCCCCAGGACAAACCCCACTGCCCCACAGCCAGCTGTGCCTTCACCCTGCAGGGGACAGATGGAACCAGCACTTTTTGGGGACAGCAGCACAAGGGGAGCGAGGAGCTTGCCATGGGCAGGAGGGAAGTGTCCTAGGGTGCGCAGCTGGCAGCAGTAAAATCCCGGTGTGGGGAGGGAGCCAGAGCACTGCACAAAGCCTGTAACTGGAGCTAAAGCTCACCCAGCACACTCTGTGTCTCTTCCTGCCCCACAGCAAGCATCCCTTGTGCCAGACTCTGCTGGCATTTCTTGGATGCTCAGCAAAGCACTCTCTGATAGCAGTCATGGCTGTTGGGAGTTGCCCTGCATCACGCCTGGGAGGGATTCTGACACATTTTTCAGTAAGTTTTGATTCACAAGCATGGCTGATTGCCTTCTGCTGGCCTGCCAGTAGTTCAGGACGTTTGTAACCTGGAGCGAGCAGGAAATGCCTGTGGCCGTGGCGGTGGGGAGGAAGGGAGTGTGCTCTGGGCATCCCAGCTGGCTGGGGAGTTTCCAAACGACGCAGTGGAAATCAGGATTGGCTTTGCTGTGAAAACCCAGGGCATGAGTCCAGTGCGGGAGCTCACTGGTCTCCAAGATTCCTGAGTGCTGACACTGAAGATTCTGCTGTTGGTGGAGCTGCTGAAGAATGGTGACCGAGTATCCCAGAGGTTCCTGTGCTCCCTGATGATGGCAGGGAATGACCTGGTGTCTGAGCAGGTGAGTCAGATTGCCCAGGTGCATTAACAAACAGACAGGAGCTGGTAAATCAGCTGCTACAGGGACTGGGGCCCTGGGCTCAGGTGTCCATATCATAACTCCTTCGAGACAAGCACCTCCTGCACCTGTGACATCCTCCCAGGAGGAATTCAAGAGCAGCAGTGACCACGGATCATGAATTTTACAGCTGCTATGCAGATACTGCTTCATTTAAGTTCTTAAAAAGAACAGTACCAGGGACAAAATTATTACCAAGGTCAGGTTCATACAATCCCTTTTGCAGTCACAATTTTTTTCTGGACAGGCTGGTGTGGAGAGCACCAAACCAGTGAAGCCAGACAGACACAGCAACACAAAAACGTAGGGTTTATTTCCAGGTGTTTTAGAACAGACACCCCGACAGCTCCATGCGAGATCCCACTTGCACAGTTCAATTCTGAGCACAGTTCAGTGGCATAAGCTCTCCAGGCTGTGGGGTGAGACACCCGCACTGCAGCAGGCAGCTCAGGCCCCAGGTGTTGATTTATGCTATTCCCAGGAATTTATTGCTTCGTTCAGGAAGACTCAGAAAGCCATGAAGCAGCTGCAGGCTCCAGGCCTGCCACTGCCCCTCTGCACATCAACTGACAATGGCATTTAAAGCTGCTGCTTCCAAAAATGCTCCAAACTCTTTCTGAAAGAAAGAATACAGAAGTCCTCCTGCACTGACATTCCACATAAAAATTTTTATACGAACAGTTCAAAAGTCCAGTTAAGTGTTCATCTGCTCATTAGTTCCTAATTAGTCTCCTTGCACAAAGAGATGCTTTATTCCCAAACACTGTAAAATTCAACAGATTTGGACATACTACAGGAAACTGACAAAAAAAAGCAAGCCTTGTTTTTAAAAAGCAAAACACTAGAAATGCAATGAAGACAAAACAGTGTTACTTAATAAAGCAACACAAGAAAATATTAAAGTACAAAATACTGCATTTTATTGATATTTGGGAGAGTGTTTAAGCAGCTCAATGCTGTTAGTCCCCAACACTGAAGTTATTTAAAACAAAACACAGCATATCCCACTGCTTTTAAAAAAATGTGTTATTGTAATGCTTAAAAAAAAAAAAAAATCAGGAGCCAGACATATGACCATTAAGTAAACCCTATAACAAAATGTGAACATTTTAAAGGAATTAATCCAACCGTCTCCTGGGTTTCTGCATTCCTCAGATGGTCAAGGTGCAAACGACACGCTGCTAGGGCAGGTGCAGCATCTCCTCTGTCTCACCTGAGCAGGACACACTGCAGCCCTGAGCCAGCCCCTGCTCGGCTGAGCAGCATTTATCATCAGCACAAGTGCTCTGAAAGTTTATTTTAAAACCCAAGAACACTGAGCACCAGTTCGTGTGCACCTCTGACAAGGAAGAAAGGAGACTGCAGGCAGTGTTAGGTTATGGTGGCACCAAAGAAGAGGAAATTAAAAGGAGATTTACATGACTCACATGGAGAATGACAAATTTCTGCTGCGTGTCTACAGTGCCATTTTTTAAAATTAAATTTACATTAGCTTTTTTTAAATGTATGGGGAAAAGTACTTTTATGACACTATCCTAGGTGGATGTGACAAGGACATTTTACAGAACAGAAGCCAGCAGTGCCCTGGCAGCCAGGAGGGCCAAGCATGTCCTGGGGGGTATCACTAGCCAGGTGAGGGAGGGGACTGTCCTGCTCTGCTCTGCCCTGAGGCAGCCTCACCTCAAGTGCTGCAGGCAATTTTGAGCACCATCATATGAAAGACATTAACCTGCTAGAGAATGTCCAAAGGAGGACATGAGGTTGGTCTGGAGAAGCGTTACAAGGAGCAGCTGAGAGCACTTGGTTTGCTCAGCCTGGAGGAGACTGAGGCCAGACCTCAGTGGTGTCTTCAACATCCTCCTGAGGAGCAGCAGAAGGGCAGGTACAGATCTCTTCACTCTCGTGACCAGTGACAGGACTTGAGAAAACGGCTGAGGCTGAGTCAGGGGAGGTTTAGGTTGGCTATCAGGAAAGGTTTTTCATCCCATTCAGAGGGTGGTCTGGCACTGAACAAGCTCCCCAGGGACAGAGTCACAACCCCAAGGCTGCATGAAGCAAACAAGTGTTTGCACATTGCCCTCAGGCACAAGATGGGATTGTTGTGGTATCCTCTGCAAGGCCAGGAGCTGCACACGATGGTCCTGAGAGGTCCCTTCCAACTCAGCACATTCCGTGATTCTGTGCAATATGGCAAACGAGGATTGCTCTGACCTAGGAGCGATTGCATCCAAGGACAGATCCACAGCTGCAAAGTCACTAAGTGTGCAGGGCAGGAAATTAAAAGCCTGGAGACAAGAGAAAAAGACAACGTGCTTACGCCACAACGGGGACCAGATGGACTGTGGGCATCTGGGAACAGCAAGATACTCTCTTACGTGGCAAAAAAAGCCATCACAAATTCCCTCTCCTTCAAAACAACAGACAAAGACAAGCTCTGTTCAAACTTCTGCGTATATAGAATTGTAACATAGGAGATACAAACTGGTTAAAATACTGCTAGGAATAGCACAAACAAGAGACAGTACTTCACTTACCACTTAATACTCGTTTCTACGGAAAAAAAAACCAGCCAAACATCCAGATCTTGCTGTCTTAGAGTTATATGTACACCTGGCAGTCCGAAAGTTACTTGTCTGGGATTTAATTTAAGCACCTTGATTACACAGTGTCCTTTACTACAAAACAGCCAAACATACATTCATAATCCTAGAACTATTGTCATAAGTAGCGTATTTTAAAGCATTATGTCAGACAGGTGCAGCCTAAGCTTTTTTCTCTTTTAAAGGTAAGGAGTCTGCAGCACTGTCCTCACATAATGCAGCAACTCAGGTTACAGTAATCATTTAAATGCTTCCACTGTTACAAAATGCTCTA